CTGGTGGCCTGTAATAGACACCCACAACAGCTATTTCTCTTCTGCATGATTTTCAGAAAGTGAGATTTTAATATTTTTTTCAGAGGAGCTGTCCATTTTGTGCTTCTCTTTCCTGAGATTTCCAGGAGTTGGAGAGTCCTGATTAAGAGTGAATAATTGCTTCTGAATTAATATCCACATGTACTTCTGAAATGAGCAGGCTGATAACCATCAGCAGGTTGGGGCCCTGTTGTGCTGAGCATCGTACATGCACGGAGTAAGAGCTGTGTCCTACACCAAGGTCTTAGGAGGGAGCTATTTTGAGAGCAGAACATCAAAATAAGAGTGGAAAAAAGGAGAGCATGTGGCAGATATTGGAAAAAGCAGCAAGAAAGGAGTGTAGAGCATGATGGGCTGAACAGAAAGAACACTGAGTGGAGAGGATGAGAGGAAACTAAATGCAAAAGTCGAACAGCTGAAGGGGAGGGAAGCCTATGCATTTTAGAAAGCAGAGTGTGCTTATGGGTACAGCTGCCTCTTCATCCTGGCTCTGAGTTTATGTAGTTTCTTAGTTTGTGGATTAATGTGCAACTTCTGCTGACTGTTTCTCAGGCCAGATCTACTGAAGTCAGAAGGCATACCCAGCACAGAAGCAGCATCCAATGGCTCACCAGTCTCAGGAAGTCCCAAAATGTCAACACTGAGTGGCAAAAGCCGCTACCGCAGTAAGCCACGTCACCGCCGAGGGAACAGCAAAGGCAGCTATAATGATTTTGCAGGGATCTTGAAAAACCAGCCAGTGCAAGATGATGCACCCCCACCTCCACCTCATAATCATTCTCATCACCCCGGCCTACCACAGCAACCTGGCCACAGCCATCCGCATGGCCATCACTCACGGCTTCATGCCCACGGACAAGATATTGCCAACTGTGCAAACAACTTGAGGTACTTTGGCCCTGCGGCAGCGCTGCGGAGCCCTCTCAGTAACCATGCGCAAAGGCGGATGTCGGGTTCCAGCCCCGATCTCATCTCCACTGCCATGGAAGCAGATTGCCGCAGGAATCTGGAGAGCAAAGAAAGCAAAGCTGATCATTGGGAGTGTTGCAAAACAGATCCCTATAATTCCTGTCTTCAGTGCAGGGAAGAGGACAGTGGTCAGGTACAGATGTCGTCTGTTGAAGCAGGGACGAGCCATTCTCAGTCACCAACATCTGTTTCCCTGTATGAAAATGCGCAGTTCATTGAGAAGGCGGAGGAAGAGGGCTTCAGCAATTGCAAGTCAGCATCTGCCCTAGGCACTCCCCAGCACATGGCTTCCTCAGTGCTGCCTTGCAAAGCAAGACCCCTTCAAAAGGTAAGGACAAAGCATGGTGATTTGAAAAAAATCTTCCTTCTCCACCAAAAAATGTGTGCAGCATAAGCTAATATCTCGATATAGGATAGTAGCAAAGCCATATTTCCCGTGTATGTAGCAGTAGAGTTACGTATACAACTTTATCTTAAAGAAATCATGCTTATTTGAACTTTTCTTTGTAATCTGGACATACTTTTCAAGTTGGTTGTATTGAGAAGTGCCGTAGGCGTGTTGGATCATACTGCCAGTAATGAGGGCTGTCAAATGTGGTTTTGATAGGGCCTAGTTCTGTTATTTCCAGTTTAGCCAGTTTTCATTTGAACTGAAACTTGGTCTACTGAATTTTTGTTGTTGAAACAGTCTTCATAATGTTTTCAAGCCTTTCTTAAAACAAAGGAATGTGTAAATGCATTCTTTTGGTGCTGTTAAATATCATGTAACAGTTACACTGAGCATCTGTAGCGCTGCTGTGCCTTGGAACAGAAATTTGACATTTGCCATGGTCTTGGGGATATGTCTTTTGCTGAACCTGCCAGAAACTGTCTCCCTTAACTGAAAGTTATAGTTCTCATGTATCTCATGAAGATTTTGCAAGAGTCAAAAAGATGTTACAGCAAAGTTGCACTGAAACGATCCTCCTTAATTCCTCCTGCTTCCATCCAGCTGGCAAGAGAAGTAGGAACCAGTGTGAATGGAATTCAAAGAGCAGGAAAACTGAGCCTGAGTGGAAAAGTGAAGGAAAAAAGGACGAGTACCAGACCGAGACTGTGATTTGGACCCAGAAGCGAGTGGGGAGGACTTTTTATTACAAGTGGGTGGGATGAGATAGAGGCTGAGTCTCAATGAGGTGTTGGCAACATGGATAGGGTGGAAGGTGGCTGTAAAAACCAAGAGTGCAGGGGGTATATTTGGATCGGGAAAGAGGAGTAAAAGGCTCTGTGCTTACTGAGGTAGAGAATGAAACAAAACTCAACTTTTCCTAGTTGGTGAAACCCACCAGCAAAAGCTGTGTCATCCCCCATCCTGCTCTGTGATGGACTCCTGTACAAGGAGGTAGACGTTGCAAAGCTGAGAGTGCCAAATCAGCTCAATAATTTATGTGGATTTCAGTATAATACTAATTACTTGATTTGCTTCTGTAAAAATCCGGAACATTATGTACTCAGTGACTGCTAAAGTACTCCAGTGTATTTCCGAGTCAATCACTCCAAATTCAGAAATGGCAGCATTAAGACTGCCTGGAATAATCTCCTGGTAAGAAGGTGTCTGAGTCAGTTTTCATTGATATGCAGGTAATTTTCTTGTCTAGGTTGTTGCCGCCTATTGACACAGTGACTTTGTCCTGGAGGACCAAGGGGCAGCTGCATAGTTCCATGTTTGTTCTTTCGCTAAATGTGACACCATTCTTGTCCTTGTGTTCTGCCAGAGTGGTGATGACTCTTCAGAAGAGGAAGAGGGCGAAGTAGACAGTGAAGTGGAGTTTCCTCGTAGACAAAGGTAAAAGGTGAATTCACTCTAATCTCCTTTCGTTGGGACAAAACTCGGGAGAACTGTCATAGCGGCTGCACACCAGCATTGAAGCTGTGGAAGGTGCTGGCAAAAGAACAGAATCACATTCAGTGCATCCCATCCACCCTCATCTGATCCATCACGTTCACTCATGTTCAACCTATTCAGAGATGTTCTCTCTAGAACAGCTTTTCTTCTGCAGAAGTTGTAGCACAACTTGATCACACTGCATAACGTAATTCAGCCTGTAAAAATCAGCTGCTGCATCTGTTTTGCTAGAATCAGACTTACTGGATGTTGGGACCCTTTGTGGACTCTTTCAAATGTTGTTTATTAGCTGTTGCTGTGGTGGGGCAGACTTCTAACACCTTTGAATTCAGATAGGATTGAAGAGCTAGGTGACAACATGGCAGATGAAATTTGATGGTGTGACCTGTAAAGTAAGACTTGATGGAGCATTCCTACTTAAGCCTATGTAATAGCAGGTTTTACAGTCCTGTGCTCTGGAAAGAGATCATGGAATCGGTGCCATAGGTTTATGAAAGCAGCTACTTGAAGTGCAGAAGTGATCTGGTGGGCAGATGGATTAAAGGTTTTTAGGAAAGGAGCAGAAAAGAAAATAAAAGCTTGTCTGCTGTTACATACATCCACGGCACACTTGCATCTTGAATCCTAAATGCCACCTTCGTTGCCCCAGCTCAGAGACCATGGAAGAATTTGAAAAGGTACTAAGAAGTGTGACAAGAATGTTTAGAGATAGTTTCTGTAGAAGAGACTAAATCCATGAGAGATCTTAGCCTAGCAGGAGAAGCAGCAACACTAGAGATCTGTGAAATTGTGAGTTATGTGGAGAAAATAGACAAGGACATAGACAATAGACATTCAGTTTAGGGACACCCAGTGCAGCAAACAAGGGGTTTAGAAGGAACAAAAGAAAGTTCTTTTTCCATTCAAAACATTTTCAGATGTGGAGCTCATTCTCAAGGTATGCTGTGCAATGAAAACATAGAGAAGTCCTAAGTGTTAAATTTATGGAATGTAAATCCATCAGGGGCTGTTAAGCACTGTTATCCAGGTTTGATCTTCAACTCCGAAGCCTAATTTGCTGAATGGTACAAACCAGCAAGATATGCCAGGAGAAAGGAGGCTGTCTACACACTCTGTTCTCCTACTTCTTGCCTAGGGATGGAGACAGAGTGCTGGGATAGATGAGTTTTCTGACTCCAACAGTTCTTGAGTGATTATTGCTTCTTCTGTGTTTATCTAACTTGGAAGAAAAATTGCCTTTCCTGAGTTCAATGTAATGGCCTGTTGGGGGCCTTCTGGCATGTTCAGTCAGCTAGTATTTGTACCATTACTGTTGAATGCTGGCATGAGGCGATTTCCACTTTCAGGTAACTGTGATCCTGTTTTTTGAGCACACATACCTAAATTCCAGCCTGGCTGTTAGGATCACTGCCAGGTGATGCAGGTATTCCCAGTTGAATTAGATTGAGCCCTGCAGTACAGCCTTTCTTTGGGAAAAAGGACCGTTAAAAATATGTTCCAGGGCAGATCATCTAGTATGAACATGTATCAGATGACACTAAATAAGAACAGATGCATTTAAAGATGCAGATCTTGAACTAAATCATTCAAAAGGTGGTAAATTTCCATAGCTCCAAGATGCAAAAGGCAGCCCAACACTCTGCAGAGCTCTTACCGCCAGCCTTGCAGAGCAGTTATGACTCAGCTGGAGATGTGTTCTTAGAGTGAGAAGAGGCTCTTGGGAGAGTTGATGTAAAGCTGTTTCCAGGGATAGGACCTGTTTTGCTCAAAGACATTTTTGGAAGGATCAAGCCCTTAGCCCAGTGTGGAAAAGTGTGTGCCTGAACGATAACTGCTTGGGAGAAGAGGACTGAGTAGCCTAGGCTACCTGTTACAGTGATCAAGTCCTATTCTTGTGCTGAGGATGCCAGTGCCGGGTGCAAAAATCTGCTCTGCATTGCGTGCTTCAGAAAGGAGGATGAGACGTTTGCTGGGGGAGCCTGGATAAGGATGCAGCAGCCACTCTGCGTTCGCTGCGCTGCTAATGTGAGGGTTTGATTGTGATACGTGTCTGGAAAGCAAGCTACCCTTGCTCTATGTCAGAAACAGAGTTCCCTGTACTTGAACCCTAATGCTGTGCTGGCCCACCAGCTCATTCTTACTGCGTGCAGTGAGAGTATGTGCAGAGAGCTGTCCACTGCGAAACTCTTCACTTTTGTAGCTGGCAGGGGACTCCTGGGGACTGGCTCACCCCAGCACTGAGTGGACACGAGGAGTGGGGTCTGTAGAGGTGGGTTGTAGCAGAGTAGTGGAACACAGCACCAGGAAATTTGCTTTTCCTCTGCAGTCAGAGGCACTGTGATACAAGCTAAACTGCTCTCCTGTTTGCAGACCTCACCGCTGCATTAGTAGCTGCCAGTCCTACTCAACCTTCAGCTCGGAGAACTTCTCTGTGTCAGATGGAGAGGAAGGGAACACGAGCGATCATTCAAACAGCCCAGATGAGCTGGGCACCAAGCTGGAAGACGAGCTGGCTGAGAAGCTGGAGGACATGTTGTCCCAGACTCCAGAGATCCCCATTGAAATCTCCACCCAGTCTGATGGGCTTTCAGACAAAGAGTGTGCTGTGCGGAGAGTCAAGACTCAAATGTCTCTGGGCAAACTTTGTGCGGATGAACACAGCTGTGAGGTGAGTTGTAAGCTTAGTTATCCCCTCTTCCCTCTACTGAGAAAAAAAAAAAAAGATAAATAAAATGTTATGGAAAGGAATCCAAGGGCCAGAAAGTGGGATGACTACCTAGGAAGTGCTGTGATAGCTATATTACAGCAAAGCAACGGCTGAAATACCCCATCTTTCTCATATTTGGCCATATGAGTAGATGGAGGGAAGCAGCACAAACAAAGCTGAACCTAATTTGCTGGTCAAAATGAGTGTGATATTCAGTGGCCGTCAGATTTGCAGTTGCATTAAGTGGGATAAAAAATAGCACATAAAGTAGATAATGAAACAGAATGGATATAAACAGTCTGCCTCAAACTTAACCATTGGCAACCTTGCTGACAAACCTAGAATTTTTTCTTCCTTTTACTGTCTTACAAGTGTTTGGGAGGGGTAGGGCAGAGTCTGCTGCACCATCTTCTCATAACTCTGTGTTGAGAGTGGTCTGACCAGATATTTTTCTGCTGTCCCTTCACTGAGGGGCACAAGTGACCTTTGGTAGAGCAACTGTGTGCTGTTGCTGTCTCCTGTGTGCTGCTAGTCTCTCTGTGCCTGCTGGTGGTGACCTTTGCCTGTTTGCTGGTAAAGACTGAGTGGGTGCGGTTGATCTACGGTACAGGATTGTCGCTCAGGTCTCCCTCTTTTGTTTTGCTTTGCAGAACCCAGCAGCACAGTTTGGAGAATCAGACTGTGACTCTTCTGAAGGGGAGTGTTCTGATGCCACGGTCAGGACCAATAAGCCCTGCAGCTCTGCTACTTGGTAATACAGATCTCCCCCAAAGCTTCCTGATACTGGCATTTTGATTTCCCTGAGATTCTACTTCATTCCCCTTCATCACACTTTACAGGAAGAGAAGATGCTTCTCCTTCCCACCCCAGGAGTGATTTGCAATAACACGAATCTCTGGAAAATGTCCAAATGAAATTAATTCTCTTTGAGCATTTCAATCAAGAATGGCAGGGATGTATTTTATTGAATAATCTAGTTACTGTAACATGGATATTTATTTTTTTGACATTTTAACACTTTTTACTGTAAAGAGTGGATTGTATTTATAGAAACACAGACTTGTTGCAAAAAAAAAAAAAGTTCAGAAAGCAAGCACACTACAGAGAAACATCCTGGGAGTCCTGCCTGGACAGCTTTGTGTACAAACGCGGGGGGATTCTCTTGCTGCTTTCACAGGGGACCAGGCCTTGTGGCCCTGAAGATTGGAGAAAAGATCAAGAAAATGAAACCACTCAGTCTTATCAAATGAGGAAGCATAAAAAGACCTTACTATAGGGTAACCTGTGAACAAAGCGTATTCAGTATAACCAGCTGGGTCATTTTTAATCAGAAGGTGGACATGTTCCTGGAGAAAATTGGTGCCGAGGTGCTAACATCCAGGGTCTTCTGAGTCGATACATCCCCAGGAATGTAATAGTGGGTTTTATTTTAAGGATTTTTAGTTTCTTTTTTTACTCAGCATTTTGTTGTGAGATCCTGCAAGTGTATTCTAACCTCGTCCTCTCAAGAATTGGTATAAGAGCACTTCTTAACATCGTCCTTGCTTCACTCTGGCAGTGTTGCTCTCCAGTTGAGCAGGGAAACCTCTTTCAGATGCAGTGTGCCATTTCCCAGTTTACTTCCTCCTCTTACCTCCTGTCTGTTTCAGTCAGTCAAAGAAATCAATCAAATCAGTGTTGGAAAAGCAAGAACTTGCAAACAACGGAAAGCACATTCTGCAGAGCCTGAGCACTCTTCTGGGGAGGAAACTGGAGATGCCTGTACTGGACTTGGAGAAGCAGCCTCTCACCTACAACAGCATCGATAACCAGCAGAGAGCTGTATGTTGAGGGGCAAGACTGGGAATCACTGGCCAAGAGAAGAGCATCAGCCCTGCTCTGTCTCCTTATTCACTGTACATTCTTGAAAGCATTAACAGCTGCCTGCCCTTCATGTCAGGCTTTGTGCAAAACTGGTTGCACAGGGAATCTTGATGGTGGCTGTGGCACAGCTATGTCTCAGGTGTACCCTGAGGCCTTTGTTTCTCCTTCAGGCTGAAACTCTGCAGGTGAAAGTGAGGATAGTACTGGTAGGTGACAGGCTGAGGCATTGGCAGATGAGAAAAAAAATTGTTTTCTGATAGAACTCATAGTGCCTTCCCTTCAAACACTACTCTTCTAAAAAGAGAACAAAATGATAGAGCACGTTTCCCCCTGCCTCCCTCCTTCCCACCTTAGTTGATGTCCCCCTGCAAGAGCTTTCACTCTGCCCTTCCTTGCGAGGCTGTGCCACACGTGTGGCACACGGCCACGCTGCTGGGTGCTGCTCAGCAGACTGGCACACCAGCCTGAGGTGAATGGCAGGAATGGACCATGGACAGGTACTTCTGTTGCTTTGTTTGTTTACATTTTATGTTGAAATATTGGTTTGAATTTAACTGTGGTAATTTATAGCCTCATGGCAAAATGAAGGAAAATGTCTTACTTATACAGAGAGCAGTATTGTATGAGTTAAATTATCCCATATTTTAAAATTTTTGTAGCTGGACTACACACAGATCTTAAGTTATGATGTTATTTTATTATTTATTATCATTTCTGTAGATCAGAAGGTTGGCTTCACCACTAGCACAATTGTAATCTGTTCGTGTGATATTACCTTCTCCCTGGTCACTGCGGGGGGATAATGGGAGCAGAGCTCGTCTCGGTGGCTGTCAGTAGTTGCTGCCTCTCGTGATTTCCAAGGATGCTGTTGTACTGGGGCAGAGCACTTGTCAAGGCTGGTCTGAGAGGGATGGATGCAGTCAGCCCCATGGGTCCTCTGATATTCCCCGTGGTCAATGCTGCAATTCGCTCGTGCTGCCAGTAGAGTTGGCAACCCCTGAGCTGGTGGGGAATGGTGAGCAGGGAGTGAGTGGCTTTCGAGTTGGCCACAAAGTGAGTAACTGTCACAAGATCCCCTGGCAAAAGCATCCAAAAGGACAAGCAGAGTGGAGGGCAATTGCTCCAGGCAGCAGGTCTGAGATCAGGGGTGACCAGCAGTAGATCCCCATGGTGGCTCACCTGTGCAGGACCAAACAGGCTGCTGGAGAGGAGAGGGAGCGACCAGCTCACCTCTGGTCTGCAGCAGCAATACTCAGCTCTGGGTAGAGGCAGAATGTGGAGGGGAGTGAAGCTCTTTTCTGGTTTGTTTTGTTTCTTCTCTCTTCTCATCCCTCATTTCTCTTCCCAAACGTTCTTTGTCTCAGCCAGTGGCAAGGAGAAGGTGGCAGGGCAGAGCTGGCTTTGTTGTGGTGGTGTGAGAGGAGTTTTGGTGTGGAAGAGGTGGTGCACGTCGTTACTTAGGAGGCTGGAGGCAGGAATTTAGCAGTGGAGAGCTGCGTGCACATAACATGTATGCAAAAAGCAAGACCAAACTACCAAGTAAAGAGTGCTGGAGAACTGCCATCAAATGTCCCCCACAGCAGAGGCTTCCAGGCAGCGCGGTGTCAGCCCAGCCCATAGCTCAGGGCAGCCCTACAGCAAGAGGCCCAAAGCAGAGCAGGCCTGTCAGAGCCTCTGTGAAAGGACTTCAGGCTGCAGTGATTCAGCCCCTGACCAAAAGATCTCAGAGGGGTTTTGGTAGCTGTGATCTATGCTTAGAGCTCCTCCACCACCTGATGAAGCTCCTCTGGGCTTGCACAGAAACATAGAAGCTGTGATGGGTGAGATTTTGGGACCCTTCTGGGCCAGCTGTCCTGGGTGTGTGCTGATTCCTTTCCGTCCTGGCCTGGGGACATGCTGGCCCGTTCTGCAGTCTGAAAAAGCAGAGCTGAACCTTTCAGGTTGTCTGCTGCCACACTTAGCTCTAGTTTCTTTACATGCCCAGGTAGTTGCACTGTTACAGTCCAGCGTCACTCCTGCTAACTGCTGCCTACTATGCAGCGTCCCACTGGGACTGCCACTAGGGCCGCCCCCCCCTTGGCTAAACACATAACCTGGTACTCCTGGAGATGTAATCCCAGCCTCCCACATTCCTGGGATGGTTGCTGTCAGTTCTGCAGGGTGTTACACAGGCGTTTTCCTTACTGAAATCTACCCAGAATTGCACATAGCCATGATCTCCATGTTGCTGTACGGGCGCCTCTGCTGTGGTTCCTCGCACCTTCTCTCCTCATGGGGCGCGGGGCTGAGAGGCGTGTGTCGGCCTGCTTCCTCCTCGCAGTAACACTGCACTTGCAGGTCAGAAGTAAACTATGGGTTCCCTTCTCAGCATCCTGACCACCCTGATCCATGGCTGCTGACAGCTCCTGAACACTAGCCTAGATTTTCTCCTAGAGCTGAATGTTGCCTTCCCCACTGTCGTGTTAAGTAACCATTTCATCCTGGCCCTGTCCAGTAGTGTTCATCTCTCTCCTCCCTGCTCTGCGGATTCCTGATACAAACTTGATTATTTTTTTTTTTGTATTGAACAGTGTACAGTGATGGAAACAAGAATGACTATCAAAGCAAACAATGCATGGAATAAAAAGCCAGTGTACTTCAACACTTCTCAGGCTGGTCTGGTGATCTGGGAACAGTTCCTCATGTACTTTGGGGTCATGTCATGAAGCCTTTTCAAGCAGCTGCTTGTTACTTGTCTCTGAACACAGCTGAAGTGGAACTACTGGGAGCGATACGTAGCAGGGCAGAGGCTTAGTCGGACACATGTAGCCTACCGAGCCCTCGGCTGTCCCTGAGCATTGCTCTTTGCTCTTGTGAAATGTGTGATTTTTGCAATGTGAGCTGGGGGATTGTGTCTGCAGCCATGACTTCTTATCCTGGGAACCTTGCTGTCCCACTCAGTTCCAGCCCTGCTGGTGGGGAAGGTGCTAAAATGGATGGAGAATTTGTCAGCTTCCCAAGTGATCCACGGTCTCCTATCTGCCCCGTCCGTGCCAGAAAGTTTATCCTCCACGTGGAGGGCAAACTCATGCAAATAGAGCAAGGAGGTACAAATACCAAACACCCAGGAGCATAGTATCATCTCTAAGGGTTATTCTTCTCCAGCAACCGGGACAGAGCCTACCTAGTTATTTGGAAACCTTCTAGTTACACATGAGCAAAAAGGAGCTTCTCAAGGACAAATCACTGCCAGCCATTCCTTTCCCTCTCCCCTTTAGTCTTTGTGGGGAGTAGCAGCTACTAACAGACCTCAGTCTCGTGTGTTCTGACATGCAAATGATACACACAGGCAGCTCATAGCTCACCTCTGAACAATTTTGCTGCAGGGTGCACAGACTTAACATCTGAATGACAGTCTTCTACAACTGTGCAAGCTCTTAAATAAGGTGCAGGGATCTTAAAACATCATTACTTATTACTCAACTTGGTACTTGTACTACTGCACCTAACGGCACAGAAGTGCATGGTTCATCATTTTAGGCCAAAAATGCTAAGTAAGTATGGCTTTGGAGAGGGCAGGGGGAGGAGGGAGTAGGACCTCCCTAGAGCTGGGAAATGCTGTTGTTGAAGCTCAACACAGCCCCATGTGCTGTGGACTCCTGGGTGCCGTGGGATGAGGCTGGGCAGAAAACCAGCCTGCCTCGCTCTGGGAGCAGGCAGCAGCTGTCTGCTGCCACGTCTGTTACACCGTCGAGACTAGCTGGCTCACGAAACAGGACTTCATGGGAAGCGTGGGAGCTCAAAAGAAGCCTGTGACTAGGGCTGGCAGGGAGACCCAGGGAGTATGGTGCTTGGCCCCCATATTCAAGAGCTGGGAGGGACTAAGGGGTTCTCATTTGTCTTCCTCACAGGATGCTGATACTCCTGATTTTTTTTTTCCATTGCTAATACACTTGCAGCAGGCTGGGAACACCCTCAGGCACACTGGAGACACAGGCTGATTTAAAGGAAACAGGCAAATTAGCCAAAGTGTTCACAAAGCCCCTGTATAGCGCTCTCAGTGCAGATACAGGCACAGTTAAACATTCATTAAAAATATGAACCCTCCACCTCCTCTTAGACGAGAAGAATGATTAAAAACTGCAATTGTCTTTAGTCCACGGTGGCACAGAGCATGCAGAATATAACCCACAGGAACAGAGACCTGCAGCTTTTCTGAGGCAGTTCCCCAATACTTGGGGTACCTGAGCCATCACAAGCTCTTTTTGCCATTGAGTAACTGAGCATGCTTGTCTTCATCCAGCTTCAAGTGCTTCTTGCTGTATTTCTTGATAAGGGTCCCTGGTATCAATGCTGCCACAGCCATAGCAAGCAGTTTGAGCAATGTGTCCCAGGAGAAAATGGCATCCAAAGAGGTGATCTGTGACAGAATGGCTCCTGTCTGCACACAGATGAAATTATATGGTGTAAGACCTGAAAGAATCAGAGGAACAAAAAGCTTGTTAGCATCCCCACTATGCAAAATTAGCTCAAGTATGTCCTTGCACAGGGGTTTGTGTTCGTAACAAAAAGAACAGGGTGTGAGTCAAAAACTTTGCTGCATTGGTGATGCACACATATTTGCAAAACGCTTCAACACCTCTGAGCATAAGGGTGGCACAGAGGCAAACAGTTAAACAGGGCAGAACGACAGCTCTGACCCTGCCGCTCTGCCTTCTGCAGCTCAGCATGCTACCCAAGGCTCGGTGATGAGGAGAGAGGCAATGTCATACTGCCCCTTCAGACAGTCTCCCCAGGCCTTACCGATGAGAACAGAGAAGAAGAACTGGGACACAGGGATGTTTAAAATCGGAGCGGAGAGATTCAGAAACCAGTTTGGTGTCATGGGGAACAGCCGCAGGAACAACAAGAAGAAAAATAAGCAGCTCCTGTTCTCTTCTACCTGCCAAGAGAAATGCTCCAAATTATTTCTGCTCTTCAGACAGCAGTAGGACCTGAATGGCCATGATACTGAAGTGAATGCAAGTTTACTTCTAACATGCCACCACATAACACCAGCCTAGAACTGCTGAAAAGGGGCAACCCTACATATGCATGGGAGCCTAATGATGAGCCAGCCCCCTTCACACAAGCAGTGAAAATGGGATGTAACCTGAAGGAGAGATCAGGAACTGACTACAGCAGACCACCTCTGGCTGTACAATGAAGGGCAGGATGGGTGGAGGCAGTTCTGGAGCACAGGGGGTTCTCCTAACCAAGACATTGTCTTACTCCGGATTTTTCTTGGGATCTGGGATTTTCTTCTGCAAATAGGCTCACTTGCAGTCTGCTCCTCGGTGGTGTCCAAGGAGGCCCTTAACTGACCTGCTGCATCCCCTGCACGCATTTTTTTACTAAGTCAACCCAAAGAGCAGCCTCACCGGGGGCATTCTGGCTGCCTGCAGAACCAAGCTTGTTCTTACCTTCCCTTGCAGCAGGGCCACCTTGTCAGGAAAGTAGTAGACGACGAACTGCTTCCCGAAGGCGCCGGAGAGCAGGTAGCAGAAGGTGGCTCCCACAGATGTCAGGGCCGAGCACAGCACCAGTCCGGTCCAGGGCCCGAAGAGCGCT